TAAGTTTAAAAAGCTAAAGCTCTAAATTTTCTTAGAAACAATGAACAGTACATATATGTAAATTAAAAAAATTTGTGCAGTGGAAAAAAAAAATCTATCAAGCCATGAAAGACATGGAAGAAACTCAAAAGACATATTACTAAATGAAAGAAGCCAATCTGAAAAGGCTACAAACTGTACAATTCCAACCAAACGACATTCTGGAAAAGGCACAGCCATAGAAATAAAAAGATTGTGGTTTCCAGGGGTTTGGGGAGAAGGAGGGAGGGAGGAATGAATAGATGGAGCACAAGGGATTTTTAGGGCAATGAAATTATTCTGTATGATATTACAGTGGCTACATGTCATAGTGCATTTGTCAAAACCCATACAATGTACACCATCAAGAGTGAACCATAATGTAAACTGTGGACTTTGGTTGATCATAAAGTGCCCATGTTGGTTCATTAATTGTACCAAATATGCCACACTGATGAAGGATGTTGGGGGTAGGGGAGTATATATGTATGGGTGGGGAGGGCTATGTGCCAACTCTGTGCTTTCTGCTCAATTCTGTTGTGAACCTGAGACTGCTCTAAAAGAATAAAGTCTATTTAAAAAACAAAAAAAAAAAGAGGCCAATGCAAAGGGGAGAAAGATCACCAGAGTTAATTCATAAAAATATTTAAGAATATCCTGGTCACTCTCAGTGAATATAAGAGAGAACTGTGAAATAAAGTTTATATTTTATGGCAAGACAAGAAAATTTAAACAACAAATTTTCTCTGCCCTTTGGCCTCCTTTCTGCCCACACTGTACATTGTGCATCATACATTGACCAAGCCTTCCCCATCAGCAGAAATTTCCACTCAACCATATGAAGCAACATTCTCGTAAGACAACTCCTTAAAGATAACATTCCTTCTTGATAAGGGGTCACGTGGTGCTTAGGTCTGGGTTATGTAAACTGTCAATACACCATTCGATGCACAGCCTGTCTCAGAAAAGGTTATGTAACTGTGTCTTGACTTCTGAAGGGCAGAACAGTTCTCAAGAGTTTTCTGAGATACTCTTCCTTGGTTGTAATCCTCAAATTTGGCTTGAATAAAATTTTCCATTTCTTTCTTTAAAAAAAAAAGGAAAGAAAATTGTACACAAGCTCCTTCCACTAACCAGTACTCACTTTTAACAAAAACAGCTGAATTTGCCAAATGAATCCATTTATCACTGTCAGAATAGACTTAAACAACACTGGCAATAGTTGTAAATTATCAAGACAGGCAAAAGTGCATTTAAAAAGACAAACAAGTTACCATTCAGTGGCAGGCGTTAAATATACCAATTCACAGAAACTGGCTGATCCTGGTTGTAGCTCATATTTAATCTCACACTAGTTCACTGCCATTGATTCAAATAAGAATGTAGATGCTTTCAAATCTGAATAGTTTTTCTAACTACAATCACAAACACATCAAAGAAAAGCAGAAAACCACTGTTTCCAGAAACAGTGTCAAAGAAATGAAGCCAGGTGCCAGGAGCGGAGAGCTGACCCTTCTGTCACAGGAGACGAGGGGCCCTGGGGAAATCCCTGAAGGGCCGGCCCGCCAGCTTCTCTTGTCTGAAGGGGGAGACAGACCGGGAGACAGATGTACATGAAGGGACCATAGAGCATCTCGACGTTTAAAACATGTCTGTGAAGAGACTCCTGCACCCTCCATGTGGGAAGGGCGGCTTCACAAGGATCTCGGCAGCAAGGATGTTTTTTTAAGTTCTAGACATCTTTTGAATGGGTAAATTTTAGAACTTTTAAAAGAGAGGTTTATATTTGCTTATCATCATTAACCTCCATAATATCATGAGTGTTGCCTAAAAGAGTAGATTAATCGGTACTCAGAGTGTGGGCTGGCTAGTAGCCCCCAAACTGACCGTGTTGAAATGAAAACCATTTCCTCTGAACTTCAATCCTAAAATGTGGCGAAAAGTAAGCAGGGGGATATTTAAAGGTCTTCTATTTTCATGCCCATTTAGAAAAAAGAAAATTAACAAACTTACTTAGAGTCCCGATTGCCTAAACGATTTTTACTACAATAATTTTTCCAATTTTAGGAAACCCAGCCTCTAAATCTAAGGAACAGGAGTGCTCTGTTTCCTAAAAACATCCGGGGGAAGATAAGGTCTCATTTTACATAGTGATTTAAAATGGTGGTAACATAAAATTTTACCTTCTTTCTCAAATTCTAGCTTTGTTTCTAAAGTAAAATTGCTTTTTCTTCTGGGGGAAAAATATCAGATGTTTGCCTCAGTTTCAGGCCATCCCTGACCCCACCCCACAGGTATGGATGTGTGTTCTGGTAGGAATGGGCAAGAGGAGCAGAAAGACAAGAAAACAGGCAGTGTGTGAAAGAAAGGCAGCAGGATGGGGGAAGGAAGGGTGCTGACTATCTCTCCGCTCACTTGTTGACAGTGCATGTCCACAGTGCTGTCACACAGCCTTCTGTCTTAGGAAGGACCCCCTGCACTAAGAAGCTCCCATTGGCACTACTTACTACTGCAAAGGAGTCTGGAATGAGTCTGAATGCAAGTGGGTACGTAGGAGTGTTTTCGGGGAAGGGGCTCAGGGAAACGGGAGGCCACGAAGCTGATCAAGCAAACATGTCCTGCTTGTATTCTCTAATTCTGTGTGTGGAGACACTCCCAGTAATGTGGGATGAGGGGAAAAAGGATACGTGAGGAAAAAACAAAGACCTGCAAATTCCTTAGTGCAGATGTAGCAGTTAACACTCTCTCTCACGCATTACAGCTTTTTTAAAACCAACACTCTGTAACCTACTTACCCATCCTACAAAAGTGACTTGAGGAGTCTCCACACTGAATCATGGACATTGGGACACCTAACATTTCTATATACACTTAACCAACTCTAAATTTTTAAAATTTGCTATAAAAATTGTAACACAAAAATAACCTTGAAAATTCTTAACTGTGTAATACTAACTACCTAATACTAACAGTACATGTAATTACCAACTCTGTAAATTTTACAGCCATCAACATTAAATAAAATTCAAAATGACAGAAATGCCTCAACAGAAATTCAACATATATTACCCGTTATCTTTGCTATAATCTGAAATGTAAGATTAAATACTGTCAAAACCAATCTCTAGTCTGAAGAAGTAAATTCCTGTCAGAAAAACAGATGACCTGTCAGTTCAAAATCCACAACTGATAACTATGCAAATGTGAGAAAAAAATGCGCAGTAAAATCTATGAGGAGACCTATGACCCTGTGGAGGAGGAGGGCCAAAGCTTCCCCATACTCGCGCACACCAGGCCGCACGCCTGCTTCCGCGCCCACGGTCTGACTTCCACCTGGACCACGGCCACCAGGGGAAGGACAACCCCGGCCTCCCTGGCAGCTGGTGCTCCAGCCAGCGAGTTGTGGGGGACGTGCCACCTGTGGTACAAGCACCCTCGGCCACCTCTACTCCAGCGGGTGGGGTGCAGATGCACCGGGCCAACGCCACCCTGCACAGAGCAGACGAGGCCGACTCTGGGCAGCAGAGTGAGAAGATGTCACCGTCTGAACAAAGTCGCTACACAGCCTGGGCCTCGGAGAGAGAACATCTCATGGGCCTCCAATGCAGGCTGCCAAAATCGTGTCTTTTAACTTCCTCAGCTCTAATGGGAGGTTAATAATAATAATACTCAGCTCTCAGATTATCATAAGGATTAAACGTTTTAAACAGAAAGAAGAAAGTAGTATCTCTGGGTGGGTCCTAGGCATCTACGAGGCTCAGTCTTCAGCTGAATGACGTGCTTCCTCCCTCACACCAGCCCTGTGTGGGGGCGACTCCCAGCCACAGTGCAGTCCTGGGGCTTCACAGAGACATGAAAAACAAACAAAATCCATAAATGTTAAGCAGGAAATGACACAGCTTTGCTGAGCTATAACTCACATGCTGTGACTGATGTTACACTGGTTATTCTCCCTTTCAAGTTCCTGACTCCAGGGTTCACATCTTTTCCAGCCATCTTCTGTTTTAATCCAACTCCATCCAGGAGATCTCCAGTCCTGACCCAAAAATGGCATGGTTCTATTAAAAAAACGGTTAATTTATGTTAAAAATGTTATGTGTAATTAGTAAAAGTTTCTTTTCATTTATAACATTTATTCATTAATTTCTTTAATGATTTTTTTGCCTAGAGTATTTGATTTTTTATTTAAGTATAGGTGATGCACAGTATTACATAAGTCACAGATGTACAATACGATGCACAATTTTTAAAGGTTATTTATTCATTAATTTTAGTGAATGAAGTTCTTACTTAACATTTAAATGTCTGCACACGCCTTCAGTGCTAGCCAGGCACCAGTGATGGGACAGCGGTGGTCACTAGAACCGGGAGATGGACAAGCACTGCTGATGTTAGCCCAAAGCTGCGTATCTCACTCACACCTGACAGAGAAGAGTGTGGACAGGGAGTGAGGAAAAAAAGGGAGTATTAGACCAAACAGAGAAAACTTGCCAGAAATCAGACGCAACACCACATGAAACATTCCTGCTCAGTGACACCGAAGCTGACAACGTGAGGGGGAGTGGCTGCCAGCGAGGATGGAGAGCAAGTGAGGGGCAGTTAAGTCAAAAGAGCTGGACTTTACTCCCAGGGCACTAAGCAGCCAAGGAAGGGGCTTTCCTCAGGGAGGGAGGGTTTGACCAGGTCTGAGGGTCACAAAGAACTCAGGGTGACGCTGCTTCCCGGCCATTGCCCGCTGTCTCCACAGTAACAAGTGCTGCGCAAACAGCGCCTGTCTGCAGCCTGCCTTCCTCCAGGAAGTGCAATGCCCACCCATCTGCACCGAGGCTAGGCACCCCAGAGCGGCCCAGCAATCACCGAACGGTTCACCCAAACGCACAGAGAGACCCATGGCCGGGAGAGGGGTGAGGCTGCACAGCAAGCAGGAAAACCATCCGCATTGAGTCAGTAAAGGCATGGGGGTGGGCAGACTGGGAGAAGGCAGCCAGGCAGCGGTGCTCAGGGCCCTGACATTTAAAGGGCAGCAGGTGAAGATGAGCTGAGAAAGGCACCGAAAAGCAAGAGCCACGAGAAGAATGTTTTTAGGAAAGAAATGATCAACTGAAGAAACTTACAAAGAAGCCAGTATGGTAAGAATTAGAAAGCATACATTGACTTTAGCTACAAAAAGGTAGTTGATAACAGAAACAGTTTCAATAGAGTGATGTGTTATATAAACCTCATGTCCTAGGTAGATTTGAGACATTTCATCAGTTTGGAAAAATATGCCACAGAGTACAGGACAGATGAAAGTGTTTAAATACCATCTCCCAACTATATTTACCATTACAAAGAACAGGTTACTAAATAGGCATTTATACTGGCTTAAGAAAGACAAAAAAGTTTCAGAAGAAAATAATAAGTCTTCAACAATACTCCTGGGTCCACCTACAAGCACCCAATTACTGAACTGGAGTATGAAATGGATGAAGTACATGACGAAGTAATCCAAGAGGATCTCAAAACCTCGCTAAACTAATCAGTAATCAGCACACAACTTTTCCAGTCACATACTGTTTAACTTAGATTCCTGCTTTAGAGGACAATGAAAATAATTCCTTAAATCTCATCACTACTTTGATAAGCCTCATCTTACAGACTTGTTTCACAACTACTGATCACCCTAAAATGTAAAAGCCACCACCATGTCCAGTCAGATTATTTAAAATCGCCCCCAACATCATGTGTCTGATATTTTGATTTTCATGAAGCTTCAGACACAGGCCAGAGAACACTCTTACAGAAGAAGGCAAGTACCATGATGAAGCAGATGATAATGGCAAATTCAGCCTCATAAAATACATACAACACAACAGTGTCTGTTAGGACCATCTCCGACAATTGCCAAAGTATCCCTGATATCACATTTAAACTGTGTTTAAAAAAAAAAAATCAAGTGGCAACCATGCAGAATGCTGCTAATAGGCCAAATATAGGATTACTTCAATGACAGAAACACTTAAACACAGACTAAATTTGTTATTACACTGTATGTCCCTTCCCTCAGAGTACACCATCTAGCTGACGAACTACAAAAACAACAGCAAAACAAATGAAACCCCAACCCCACAAATACGTAAATATATATATATATAAATATGTGCACATGAAAGTAATCAAAAGGAACAAACTTAGTTATAAAATAAGTACTACTGATGTAACGTACATGATAGAGATAATTAACACTGCTGTATGAGTTACATCTGAAAATTGTTAAAAGAGTACATCCTGAGAGTTCTCATTGCAAGGAAAAAATACTTTTTTTCTATCTTTTTTTAACGTTGTATCTGTATGAGATGATAGATGTTCACTAAACTTACCGTGGTAATCATTTCATGATGTATGAGCCAAATCAGTATGTTGTACACCTTAAACTTAGACAGTGCTATATATCAATTACATCTCAGTAAAACTGGTTGGGGGAGGAGAGATTATGTAGAAAACTGTGCTTTGAAGAATTCCTTGTAATATGAACAAATTTTAATGATTATAAATAATTAAAATATCCAAAAGAGGCTTTGTTAAATACATTCGTTATTACATTGGGATAGTAAATGGCTCTTAACAATCAATAATTGTATGGATCTTTATTAACATGAAAAGATTTTCAGGATATATTAAGTGAAAGCAACAAATTTTAGGAAAATATATGTGATACTTCTATGTATTTCTAAATGTGGGCACAAACTTATACGTGTGCATTGGAAAAATCTAAAAGCAGATACAGCAAAATGTAAACAGTGAATATCTCTGCATATCTGAATTCCAAGTGAGTTTACATTATTTTTTCTCTGGGACATTTTTAGTATTTCTTTTATTAGATAAACATTTATTACCCATGTGATAATTTTTATAGAACACGACTGATCTGAAAGGCAGAAATGGTGATGTTAATTTGTATTCTTTCATGCAGCTAAAGAATTTTCCCCAGTATTTGTTTCATTTTTTCCTTTTGTGATTTGTATGCTCATAGGTTTTACAAATTTATTATTTTAGTTTTCTTCCTTCTAGGATAATTTAGAAGTCTTCATATATTTAAATTAACATACTTGGTTTCCCATTTAAAATACATGTGTAAATATGCATACTTACAATCCTGTAACGTGAGTACCAAATGAACGGTAAAGAGAATAACAAATTCAGAGTAAAAAGCAAAATCACCTGGGAAACCTCTGAAGAGGAACTAGGACATGAGCTTGGCCCTAAAGCATGGTTAGATCTTAAGTGAACAGAAAGGAAAGGAAAAAATACCAATCACAGAAACAGTGGATGAAAAACTAAAGATGGGAAGACATGTAATATGTCTGAGAATAAGCAGAAAGGCTGGCTGAGGCAGAGAAATCTACAGACCAGCAGATGGAAAGGGGACCAGGAGAACGCTGACTGTCAATGGTATCTGGGCTTTATTCTCCAAATAATTCAAAGCTTTTGCGCAATCTAGCACCATGAGCAGTTGATTTGAGAACGGTCTGCAGGAGAGAATGAATGGGAGAATGGGGCAGAAAGAATGACTAACTAGGCAACAGAAACTTCGAGCCTACACCTCAGCCAACTTTAAGTACTTTTAAGACTTGACCCACAAACACCGCACTTACCTATTTAGATCCTATGCCCACTCACCACTTAATACACTTCTATTCAGGCCTCACAGGCAATCAAAATTTACACTAACTTCCTACTGTGAAGTTAAGAGTCAGCCTGGTGTTTCCAGTGAGGTAAGATTCTTTTTTACAACTACCAAAACTCTACAGATAACTCATGTTGACTCAAATATAGCTGGCCAGAACTTTTCACCTGCTAAGCGTTTGCATTTCCAGAGGTTGAAGGAGTGAAATGCAGCTAAGCAGACTGTGGAAATAAAAAAACAGTACGTTTCCAAGAGTTTATTTTCAACACAGAGAAAAAGAAACTCTTGACATGAAAGAATCAGAACTAACCAAGAAACGTCCTTCCTTCAGCAAGCATGCTTTTTGTTAACTAGTGAGACCAGCAAACACTTGCTACATTAGTATGGGTCAGGCATCACCCTCGACAATTTACCTCTGTTATCTCATTTAGCACTCACACTACCCTACAAGGCAGGAAATACTACAATCCCCATTTTACAAGTTCAATTCTCTATTTTATAGATGAAAAAGAAGGCAAAATGTTTGGTGGAGCTGGCATTTACACTCATGGAATCTCACTCCACAATCCATGCTCTATCACTCTCTTTTTATAACAGCAATTTCTGAACACCCTATAAAAACAGATGTCATAAAATTGCAGCGTTTTATTTTCTTTTACATTTTTTACCTTATCTGACCTACATCACCAGGTGTGATCTAAAGTAATGGTCAATTTACATATAAACACACATATAAATACATAAGGCAAGGAAAATATACGACAGGAAATATAAATAATAAATTTGAAAAGGCTACATGTATTTTGCTATTTATTTTTAAGTTACGTGAAAAGGAAGTGGTGTGATCAGTACTTACTGCAGTTATCAAGTTGATGTTCAAAACTATTAACTGCAGAGCCAGAGCTAGTGCTGTATATAGTAGAAACAAATAAGAAATAAACAAGTTTCAGTGAAAATAAGGGTAAAGCAGTTTGAAATTCAGGGGGGAAAAGCTGGCAAAGGAGTTTCTTTTCTCCTTATTTCTTACGTTTCTTCATAAATTTTTAAAAAGTAATTTTCTTTGTTCTGCGATAAGGATGACTGGTCCTCAATTTGATAAGCATTTGGCCTTTTCTATTGCCTTCTTTTCCTTACAAGATTTCCAAATAACTGAGTCAAACAATTTAAGGTCAGACCTGAATATGGCTTTTAAGTGTGGAAGAATCTGGTCCAGAAAGAACATCAAGAAAGGGTAAACTGAGGGCTGAGGATCGGAAATGCGAGGTACTGCAAGAAGGCCTGAGAGACACAGACGCTTCGTGGAAATGGAAACCGTGCGCCCAGATAGGGGAAAACAGACTATGAAATAATAAGAGAAAGTGTATCACCTCTGACTAGGGGTGCGTGGTAAGGGTCTGGAAGACGCGAGAAAATAAGGCTTCACAGGAAAATCCACGATTTCCCCGATTCCCTCCAAAAGGGGCTGAGAGAACGGTCAAACCGAGCTTACTGCGACGGGAAGGATGCAAAATTCAGAAGTATCAGCGTAAGAGAAATAAGCCAGGACGGAGACTGAAGACGAGCCCGGAGCCACAGACATGGGAGAACGCGGTCGGACCCGGGCAGATGCTCCAGGAGAAGGGGGCTCAGCAGGGCAGGGCGGGGACAGACGGGGAGACCCGAGGGGAGGAAGGGAGGGGCCGGGAGAGGCGGAGAAGGAGTTCGAGCCTGGGAAGCGGGAGGGTGGGTCGGGGGAAGGGAGGCGGAGGGCGGTTCAGGCGGAAGCGGGTGGAAGGACGAGGGGTGGCAGGGGG